GCTCATTAGATCATTTCTGTATGTACTCATCTCGCTTGAACTCTTAAATAGATGGATGAATGCAGATATATGGAGGGTCGGTTTTTCCCGCCCTTCCCATGTGTATCTGTAGAGTTTCAGAAGCTCTACATCTGTGAATGTAGCACGTTTCTAAATAGATTCATGATTATTCTAATCTTCAATTTCTCCAAAAGCATTTCCACTATATTTCCTTCTGATTTGCTAATGCTTGAAGAACTGTTCTTAGAATGAGAACTCGTGAGAGCTCCATTAACTAAGCATTAAGTTAATTTAAATTAGAATTAGATGTGTGAAGAATAATCCCTTAAGAAACCTTGATTCCGGGCTCTGAAAAACAACCGAATAATCATTAATCAATAAGCTCGACCCAACAATCCTTAACACCTTGGTTGCCTTAGTTTTATCCCCACAAAGGAGACACTTGGTGATGGGGATATGCAACCCTCATAGGGAGGAATGAGAAGAGAAGAACAATGGTTGACTCTCACCAAGAAACTCACCTCAAACCGGCTGCCTCTCCTCTTTACTCTCTTGCACACACTTCATCCCACACACCAAAAAAGGGCTGAAAACTTGATTATATGTAGCACTAATTAGGTAACTTAAATTGGGCCAAAACATATCACTAAATGGGCCAAGTTAATGGGCTAACAATAACCAAATCAATACATTTACCAAACTACTAACCCAACTAAAACTTAGGCCCTCCAAAGGTGTATTAATTGTTTTCGAGTCGAGCCGTCACTTTGGTTTCGATAAAATATCCAACATCGGTTTATCGTCATCGTGCAAATTTATTCGGTATCATAACCCAACAAGATGTAATTATGTAATTAGAATTATCAAAATGAGTAAATTTCATAAAAAGATTAAGGAACAATCGTTTTAGCTGCAATTGATTGAATGTCGATTGTCAATTATTTATTTTGACGAAGTTAACGCTTGAATGTGAACAACAATTCTTAATCATATTCGGTTGCACAATATCAAAAACATCTTCTATGACATAGAAATCAAAATATACTGAAATAATGAAAATTTTAATTTAATTGTATGTAAGTGAAAACAAAGAAAAATTAGGTTTATGACTGTGGTATAACAATAGATTGTTTTATGTGATAAATATATTAAAACCCCAGCTATGTAATTTTACTTAAGGTTATTTANTCGATGGAAAAGTTATGCGCAATTAGATGTTGAAAAAAAAAAGGAGAAAAAAGCTTAAAATTTTTGTTTGTGGTGAACAATAATTTATTTTAGGCTAATTATATATTAAGCTCTAATTATGTAATTTTACTTAAGGTTATTTAAGTAAATAAAAAAATGGTTAAAATTGTGGTGTATCTAACAAAATTTGTCGTGGTGGTAATATAATTATCATTTTTTATTTTTGGTGGCTATACTCGCAGCCATTTTAATTATATTAAAGATCATTAATCTTTATTCATTAGGACACTTGTATCATTATTTTTTTCATCACATTCTTATATTTAACATTTTATTGATAAGAAATTATTGTCCTTAATCATGATTTTCGTCTAAAAAATATTGTTAATGTCCTTTAAAATGCGTGTCCAATATTAAATCTTATTTTTGTTGTATTATTTGTTTTGCTTATTCAAAAATACAATGGACAAATATTTTTTTTTATTCTACCTTCAAAATTTTTTTCGAGAGAAACTGTAATCAGAAATAATTTATGTTATTTGAGAATAATAATCTGATGAACAAAGGTTTGATACATAAATGTGATAATGTGAAATGTTATGGCCTTTCATGCAATTAGAATGAAGTCTAGTTATTAAAAAAAGGTGATGTAAATATAGCATTATCTAAAAACTCATTCTTTTTTCAAATTTATTTTCAATTATACATTCACACGATAAAAAATTTTTGTACGTAAATTCGAAACTTCTTAATTTTTAATCATACATCCTTCAAAAATTATTTATTACAAAATTCATTTTCAACAAAAAATGTGGCCGAAACATAGGCTGAATTAGATTGTAGTAATGGATGTTTTCATTAAGTGTTCGAAAACTAAAGGATGAAGAGTTTAATAAGAAAAGATGAAGGACCAAAATATTAAAAGCGGTGACTGTAATGAAATTCTTACAAATGCCCGCAACCCAACTCACGTCATAAAACCCGTCAACTAACAAGTCAGACCCGAACCCCCAAACAACGCGTTTCTCGATCGATCATAGATTACTGTATGGACGGAGGAGCACCGGTGACCACCACCGCGGGCGGAGGCGGCGGAGGAAGTGGAGGTGCGCCTGCGCCGTTCCTCTTGAAGACGTACGAGATGGTTGACGATACGATGACAGACGACATCGTATCATGGAGCGAGAGCTTGAAGAGCTTCGTGGTTTGGAATCCTCCGGAATTCGCGCGCGTCCTCCTTCCCTCCTACTTCAAGCACAACAACTTCTCCAGCTTCATCCGCCAGCTCAACACCTATGTACGTGTATCTATATCTGTATTTATAGATGCGTGGTGTGGAATGTGCATAAAACTTTTGAATTTTTCGTTTGAATTGAAATTAATTGTTATGCGACAAACACAATTTAATTTTGGTCGGGTTTCATGTTTCATTAGAATTTTATTGAATAGGAATTCATTAAATTTATTTCCTTCAATTTATTATATTTGGTTGACCTGAGATTTACACAATTTTGTAATGTGTGCTGAATAGATACCCAATTATGGAATACAAGTATATGAGTACATTCAACTTTGTAAAATATATGAGTACATATACAGATAGAAAAATGCCTGTATAAGTTATTTGTGTGTTTTTGTATATTCATGTGTAGGAATTACGACGAACACACACATATTGCTGATTTTTAACTGAATGTTGTTGCAGCATTTACGATATTATGTAAGTTATTAACTTATATGCTAAATTCACTGAAAGAAGGCTTTGCTGCTTTGGAGTTCTTACCTTTAATTATGCTGTACTTGTAGTTCAATTTAGATGTTAGTAACTGAATTTAAAGTGTGCTGTTTGATTTGAGACTTTCTAAATTCTGTCTCACTTCATGATACTTGGTTAATGTTATTTATCAAAAAAACATAAGGAATCGACATCTAATTATTCCGACCCTTGGGAATTGTGATTGATACCGATCGAGAGAAAAAGAAGCTAACTTTAAAAAATGAAAGCTGAAGAATTTGAGATAAAGGAGCTTGGAAAACTCTAATACTTCTTAGGAATTGAAGTGGCAGTTTCGAAAGAGGGAATCTTTGTATCACTATAAAAATACGTGCTTGATTTTCTCAAAAAGTGAGGAATGCTCAGATGTAAGCCACTTGACCCACCTATGGACCTTGATCATTAACTGGGTGTAACAGATAAGGGTGCAACTGTGGATTGAGGGAGTTACTAAATTTTAGTTGGCAAACTGATTTATCTATCACACATAAAGCCTGATAATAGCCTATGTTGAATCATGCAATATTTTAAGCTCACCACCTGGAAAAGGGAATATGGTCTAGAAAGACTACAGAACTAGATTTAGAAGCCAATACAGATACAGATTGGGCAGGACTGTTGTGGATAGGCGTCAGCCTTAGGCTATTTTATATTGCTTGGAAGAAACTTGCGATTTAGAGAAGTTAGAAGTAAACGAGGCAAGATCATACGTAAAAGCAGAAATTAGAGTCACGACACATGGAATATGTGAACTAATGTGGCTGAAATCATTCTTGAAGATCCTAAAATTAAGTAGCGAGGACCCAGCAGATTTGTTCATGTTTGGGCTCCATTAAAATGAGCTTTTTTGGGAAAACGTTTTCGGTAATAATGATTTTTTAGAGAATATGTGATTAATGTCAAGAATATAGAATAAGATTACAGAGGTCGTCAAAGATTGCGATTATAATATTTACTTTCCTTAGTAGTAGATTACGTAATATTTC